TATATATATATACATACACATATATGCATATATATGCATATATACATATACATAAGTTTTCTTAAGTTTTTGCGGGTACTTACATGTCTGGTACTCAGCTTTGTTCGGGTATTTTCCACGTCATTATAGTTGTGCTTTTAAAGTTGTAGCAACCTTTTGGCAGAATCTCATCTGCCATCATCAGGCTTCTGTATTGTGTTCGTCTGTGAGTCAGACTTTCACAGCCGTTTCAGTTTTAAATTTGGGGCTAGCCTACTGCTGTGCCAGAATGGTACCAATGAGAACACCCCCCCCAGCCAATCAGAACACAGCCAAGCCCCCACCCAATCAAGTCACACCCCCACTAGCAGTTAAAAGGAAGAAGCAGCTGCAAGCTCACATTACTCTGAGAAGCACAAAGCTGAAGACACAAGCCTGAAGATGATGAATGAGACTTCATCGAAACATCGCCTAGATACTTCCAATTTTACACGGGAGAAAACCCGAATAACCAAAGATCCACATACAAATACCCACGAGAACCTCAGAAAACAAGTTATTGGAAAACGGTCTTCCCTGATGCCTCTATTTTATTCAAAGCTTCAGATACTGGGAAATCTCTGTAGGTAGAACATTTAACGGCGTTCTGTAAGCTTTTGTTATAGACCCATTATACAGACAGCCAAATGCAATGAGCAGCCATCCACAAATGCAATGTTGTGGCTGGGTGCATTGCATTAAACCAGAATATGATTTTCTTGTGGCTTCGTGTCGTGTGAACTTCAGACTCAATAAACTGAGGTTTGTTGTATCATTGCTTGCCATACCAGTGTGTGTGACTGTTACCTTGGAGGCTGTCCTGAGAGCAGTTCAGGATGTGGTGAGGGAGTGTTTAGATACCTCATTCTGCGATCAACACATCCCAGCCACAAAATCCATTGATCTCTGTACCGTGTCTACAATTATCCCCACTTACTTGGCTACCTCCGGTCCAGCTTTTGTTCACCTGGTGTCCTTTCTCTGAGCTGGGACTTCGGTTCCAATAATTCTTGGTGGAGACCATCTCCTCTCTTTATCCTAGCGTGAATTCTGAAACAGCAATTCTTTGACCATTTTTTTTTAAAGAGAGAGAGAGAGAGAGAAAGGCTGCTTTCTGTTTGTATAAAAATGTATTTGCCAATCTTTTCCTTTAAAACCGAACATTTAAAGTTATGGTTTATTCCTAGCAGAGTCAAGGAACTGCATAACCATATTTTTTTTAAAAAAAGGACATGAGCTGAGCTGGGTAAGTAATCCAGAGTGGGTTTTTTGGCTTCTGAACCCGTTGGCTGGCACAAAATATGATGCCCATCGCTTCTTTCTGGGCCGAGTTTGGGTTTAGAAGATTCCCTCACTACCACCCAAATTTCATTGTATGAGGCTATCCTGTCCATTCTGAGTCGCTTGGGCCGGATCAGTGGTCCCCGAAGGAGTAACAGGAGTGTTGCTCTGTAAAAACCTCCGGAAGTCCTTAATCACGGGGTGCACGATCTGGATGAGGGCGTTGAGAGCGGCCTGCATGCCTTCCATGGCTTGGGCCTGGCGTTCCTGCGCGCAGGCCTGCACCTCCTGGGAATGGCGGATCTTCTGCAGCAGGTCGTTCTGCTGCTCCAGGTGCTGGGCGATCTCTTTGACGTGTAGGTTGGTCACTCGCTGTTCCTGCAGGAGCTTGGCGGAGTTCAGAGCGATTCTGTTCTTCAGTTCCTGGGGCTTGGCTGACACCTCGGCCTGCTGGGTGATCATCTCTAAGGGGGCTTCGGCGGTGACGGTGGTGGGGGCTTCGGTGGTGCAGTACTCGACCACCCCCTCTTCCAGGCTGTGGTATGTCATCTCGGCCGGAACTAAGGAGAGGAGGAGAGTTTTTTTTTTTTGAGAACTGGGACGTTTGCAGTGTGGACTTTCAACCAAGGGTTCCCAAGACAGTCAACAGAATTAAACCTGGGAATTTAAAGCATCCTAAAATTCGAGGTTAGAATTAAATTTGGGGATTTAAAGCATCTTAAAAATTCAAGTTTGGGATTAAATCTGGGAATTAAAGCATCCTAAGAATCGAGTTTAGAATTAAATTTGGGGATTTAAAGCATCTTAAAATTCAAGTTTAGAATTAAATCTAAAGAGGGTGGTCATAAAAATGAGGTGGTTCCTTTTTATCAGCCTCTTAAGCAAAGACTGTGTTTGGTAATAATGCTATTTATAGGTGTATATTTATCAGCTTCTATGTCATGTCAGAGTAAGTGGGGGAGGTTAGATGAATGATCTCTGATTAGATTGCTGGTAATCCCTGCAGTGTGACATGCATTGTGTGAATCCAGTCAATTGTGGTGACTTCTTCCCCCTCTTTTATGCCATCTGCACACGTTCACAGTTGGTGTGAAGGAAAGAAAGGAACAGGGCTGGGGAGACAGCTTGAGGTATTACACACAGCAAATGCCGTGGGAGGAGGGAAAAAATATGCTTCCTGGCTGCTTCGAAATCCAGCCTGATCAGTTGCCACTGGTAACCCCGAACCCAGCAACGATTCTGCCAATGCTTCCCATTCTGGCAGTTTAAGAATCAGAATATCTGAGTTGGAAGGGACCTCGGAGGTCTTCTAGTCCAACCCCCTGCTCAAGCAGGAAACTTGCACCATTCCAGACAGTCTCTTCTTAAAAGCCTCCAGTGATGGAGAACCCACAAACTTCTGGAGGCAAGCGCTTCCACTGATTACAGGGAGTCCTCGACTTATAAGTTTGTTTAATGACCATTCAACGACGCTGAAAAAAAGCGACTTAGGACCAGTTTCCACTCTTACGACCGTTGTATCGTCCCCATGATAATATGATCAAAATTCAGACGCTTGGAAAGTGACTCCACATTTTTAACGGTTGCAGTGTCCGAGGGTCACGCGGTCCCCTTTCGCGACCTTCTGGCAAGCAACGTCAACGGGGAAGCCAGATTCACTTAGCAACCGGGCTACTCACTTATCGACTGCAGGGATTCACTTAACAACCAGGGCAAGAAAAGGCCGTAAAATGGGGCAAAATTCACTTAAGCAATGTCTAATTTACCAATAGCGTTTGGGGGCTCAGTTACGGGCGCAAGTCGAGGACTGCCTGTATAGTTTTATATAATTTTTTGGGCTATGGCTGGGAAGGAGGAGAAGTTGGATGACAAGGGAGAAGACCAGCTTTGAAAGAAGAGGAGGAGCTGGCACCAGAAGCAAAGTAACCTCTTGGGTGGCGGTGTTGAAGATATGATTCATAGATCGCATGATCCAAGGACATAGGAGTTTCCAATTTCCTCCATGGGACTTTGAAAAGAGTCACATTACGGATCTAGCATTATCAGTGCTCCATAAATACAGGAAGGTATTACCTGATAAATTGCCCAGGGGGCCTGAAAAAGCAACCTTATCTACTGATTATCACACAAAGCCTGATAACAACATGATGGTATTCGTGGCCTTAATAGGGAAAGGATGTTTCCTGAGAAATTAGGGCAATTGTGTTTATCGGAGCAATTATTTTTTTTCCAAGGATGGAAATAGGTCCAACTAGGTCTCGGTAGAAGACGGCAAAGAATCCATTCCAAGGAAGGGAGTGGATCAAGAACACACCAGGTACAGGATGTTTTTCATTATATATCTCCAGGGCTACTAGAAAAAAACAACACAACTAAATCACCTGGCAAGGTTAATTGAAGCAGTGAGTGGAGGTGAGCCAGGAGGAGAGCTTGGCTTTTTTTTTTTTTTTTACGTTCAACCTCACCCTGTTTTTGCAATGCCTTGCCTACATTTTTCTCCTCCTCTGGCAGGCAAGGACAAAATGAGACTGCGGTGTTCCGAACGGGCTGCCAGCAGCAGGGTTGCGGAATCCAACAGAAGCAGTCAGGTGCGACCTTAAAGGTGCAGGTTACCTGCTGCTATGAAATACGTTGGGCGGGTTCCAGGCAAGCTTTCTTTCCCCAAATTCTAGATCAGGGACTGGATGTGCACTTGGTTCAGACCAGGGTGGCAAAACCAAAAACACCAAATCAGTGTTTCTCAAACGCAGCAATTTGAAGATGGGTGGATTCCAGCTCCCAGAATTTCCCAGGCAGTCAGAATTCTGGGAGTTGAAGTCCACAAATCCTTAGGCAGAATTCTGGGAGTTGAAGTCCACAAATTCTCAGCCAGAATTCTGGGAGTTGAAAGTCAACACATCACCAGGCAGAATTCTGGGAGTTGAAGTCCACAAATTCTCAGCCAGAATTCTGGGAGTTGAAAGTCAACACATCCCCTGCCAGAATTCTGGGAGTTGAGTCCACACATCCTCAGCCAGAATTCTGGGAGTTGAAGTTCACTGTACGGGAATGACTCTATGGGAAGGAAGGAACCAGCTACTTACTCTGTGTAAGGGCGACGGTGGTTGTGGCAGCTGTAATGGGTATTTCTGACGTATGGGTGCCGGTGCAGCTTCCTGCGGGCAAGCTAATGATGGTGGCTTCTCCCAGAAGGTTACAGATGCGCTGTTGCATGGGGGTGAGAATCACTGGGGTAGCAGAGGTCCCTGTTGCGTCTTCTTCAGCCTCCTGGCCTTCCCCGCCTCCTTCCTGGTCATTGCCACCATCTTCTACGGCGGCTCTGACTTGGGCGACTTTGCGCCGTACCTCCGTCTTGAGGTCCGACCACTTCTTCTTCACTTCCGGCAGCTCCCGGTGGCACGTCGCTACTGCGTTGACCCGTCGCAGGATGTTGTGCCAAGCGGCGGCCTTGACGGTCAGCGGCACGCCCGCGTTGAAGTGGTTGATGAGCAGGTGCTTGCTCCGCTCCAGTTCTTCTACGATGATCTCCACCTCCCGTTCCGAGAAGTTCATCTTCCGTTTTTTAGCTGGTGGGGCCGGAGGGGACGACATGGCCATAGGAAGGCCCAAGGATGAAGACAAGCCAGATCAAGGGGGTCTGGAGACAAAGCCCGGGGACTGAGCCTGCAAATAAAAGAAGGGGATCATGTTGAAAAAACAGGTCCAGGGGCCAATTTGGAGCAAGTCACCCTATTTCAGGAGGAAGAGGAGAGGCTTCGTTATGCAAGAATAATATCTCCCAAAAGATGGATGCAAAATCCAACCAAAGGGCAGATAAACAGAGCCAGCTCTGCAGTGAAGTATTTACAAATTTTACAATATTCATATTTGTAAGTATTTATAATGCAGGACTGAAGGTAAATGGCGACTTAGAGATGCAGAGATTATACATGGGTTAACGCTGAGAAGTTAGCTCCCAAGGTATGTTTTGAGGAAAAGTTTTCCAAAATGACAGAGAATCATGGGGAAACTGGGCGATGTTTTAGGAAAGCAAAGAAGTCAACTGAGAGAGCGAAGAGGGTGGACGAAACAGCAAATACAAGGAGTGCATAATTGACTCTCTGCCTATTCAGGTGGTCCTTTTGTACAAACTTACCTAGGAGAGCATCTCATTTAGCATTTCTGGACTTGGAAGTCCAGAAATCAGAGTTAAGGGTTGTTTCAAAAGGGAGTCAGGAGAAGGATGGTCGAGGTTTAGTTTAGGATGGCATTTTGAAATTGGACCATTTCTAAAGCAGATGGGAATATAGGATTCTCCCAATGGGATATTTCTTTTTTTTTGGGGGGGGGGTGTCTCTGAAATAGGGGGCTACATGGAAACTGTGATGACCCTGAGGTAGACTTTGGGAAGGGGGATAAAAGGGAATAAAAAAATAAATAGCGGTAAGGCCAACCCCAGTCATTTTTAAAGCATGAAATTAAGGAATGGATTTTCTAGTTATACACCTGTAAATTCAATTTGGGGGGTGGGTAGGAGTGGGAAAATGGCCCTTTAAAGGATTGAGTAGCCGCGTAACAAATATACATTCATTTCTAATTTAATTCCTGAGGAAGGCAGCCCCCTCCTCCCCCAAATCGCAATAATTTCAATTTTTGAGGGGAGGGGAATGAGGAAAATATGGGGGTTTCAATTGCAAAGGTACATTTTGGGGGAGAGAGGGAGAAGTGAAAGCAATTCATATAATTTCCTGTTCAGTTTAACATCTCAGGAAGGAGAAAAAAGAAGCCTCAGTAATGATTTACTCTAAAAATATTAATTTTTTTTTTTGACGGGGGAGCTGGAGAAACAGAAATGAGGGAGCACTGGCGGCTTCCATTTCAGGAGTGAATTTGGTGAGGGGACAAGAGAAGGGAATTGATATCGTTTGCATTCTCCGACGCAATCCGAATTGAAAAGTGAATTCTAATTTATCAATTAATTTTTTCACCCCTCCCCTCCCCCCAAAAAATAAGAGGAAGAAAAGGTGTCAGGGGGATTTTGAGGGGGCTTCAGGCTTCGGGCCTGGTGGGAGAGAAGCCCCTCAGCCTGGACTGGACGGGCCCCCCTCCCAGCGCCCCCCCCCGTCGCCCAGCCCGCCATTTCGAGGTCCCTCCGCTCTTCCCGCCGTCCCCTTTCCCAGCAGGCGAAGAAAGGTACGCAAATTGCGTACCCCAACTACCCGGCGACACCCGCCCCGCAGAGAGCCTCTACTTTGCGGCAGTGGCGTAATGGCTTCCAGAATCGGCCCCCTCGTGCCCCTTCTTCTCATTGGCGCAGCTCTTTGCCCATTAGGGGTCAGAGCCCGCCCTCCCCGGCGCCCCAGCCACGCGCGAAGGGGTGGCGATTGGCTCGGAGCGCCGCGGCGGGTGGGTCCGTCATCCGGGAGAGCTGAAAGCCGATTGCCGGAGCGGCCTCGATTGAAACTCGATTGGCTCCCAGCGTTGTCCGTCAAGCGAGCGAGTTTTGATTATACGGCGCTTCCTTACAAGGGCCGCCCCGTTCTTCCTCGGACTCGGATTTGGAGTTCTTTCCGTCGGCCAACAGGGGGCCCTTGCGCGCCGCCTCCAATCCGCGCTGCCCTCCCCCGTGACGTAATGAGGAGCAGGAGAAGGAGGAGCAAAGCAAGACACGTTTTTCCTTCTTTCCTCTCGCCCTCCCATCCTTCCTTCTCGCGAGATTTCCTCCGCCCCGCCCTCTCGCTTCGGATTGGACAGCGTGGATAAAAAAGCGGCGCCGTCGAGCAATCGGAGGGCGGTGCGCCCTCAAGAAGGCGGGACATGGCGGCAGAAAAGCCGCTTCCGCTGGGCAGGAGGCCAGTTCCGCTGAGAGGCGGCGCCTGTGGTGGTGGTAGTAGTGTCTGTGTTGGTGTGGCGGTTATGCCGGCCGGCGCGCGGCGTTCGCTGGCTTCCCCGACGGTCGTTAACGGCGTGTTGTGCCAGTGCGGCGGGGTCTCCTCGCCTGCTTCCTCCTCTTTCTCCTCCGGCGGCGGCGAGGCCGCTTCCCGGTTCCTGGCCGAGCACGAGCGTCGCCTGTATAGCCTCTTCGCCCAGCTGGACATTAACCGGGACGGCGCCCTCTGCGTCCACGACCTGGCCGTCGGGCTGGAGCGGCTCGGCCTTCACCGCTCGGAGCGGGACCTCTGGGTGAGTTTAGCCCCCCTCCCTCCCCAGCGTGGATCCACACGTAAGCTCGAACACGCGTGTCAGCATCTTTACACGCACGTGTTAGCCCACAAAGTGTTGAACTCCTTCCTGGACGGACTCTCGTAGCCTGCTTTGTGTGTGTGTGTGTGTTTTCCTTCGATTTATCCTGGTTTATAGATTTTCCTGATCTATAAACTCTGCAGGCAATCTGTGCAGGCAGTCCTCGGCTTACAACCGTTCATCTTAGTGACTTGTTCAAAGTTAGGACGGTGCTGCAAAAGAATAAAATAAAAACCACTTTTGCGACCTTCCGACAAGCCAAAGCCGATGGAGGAGCCAGATTCGCTTAAGCGTGTGACTGATTTGACAGCCACAGAGATTGGCTTTAACAAGTGTGGTGTGAAAGGTCATAAAATGAGACAAAACTCACTGAATGAGATTTTGGGGCTCAGCTGTGGTTGTAAGTCAAGGACTACCTATAATTTATTTGGGTACTCTGTTTATGTCTAGCTGGACTTTGTTTATTTCTACCAGGTTCTGTAACAGCTTTGGTCATCCACCTGGTAAACTTGCAAGAATCGTTTTTCTTGCCATGTACATGTAAACATCTGGGCTAGACTGTATGGTTTCTCTGTATCATATCACACTAGCTCCATACCCGTACTTTGCTGTGAAACTATGTGGTCAGGCTTAGTTTTTGGGGAGGAAAATAAGGTGGTGGTGGGGGATTCTGCCTCTGCCTACCAAGCATCTATCGGTATTCATCTGACTGGCGTCCTGTCAGTGTCTGAGAGAGTTGAAGGCTGCTTGGAAACTGAAGCAGTCTTTGCTGTGTGAGCAAGAAGGAGACAGCAAGGAGCCTGGGCATGGCTTAGCTCCACTGTTCTGGACTAAAGCCTCTTGGTGCTCTGAAACGGAAACTCCTCTACTTGTGTTTTGCATTTGGAAGAGGTTTCTTTTCAGGGGGGGAGGGGGAGTAGAACACCTTAGCATCAGAGCCTGTAATAATATAGGAAATACTACTGCTCTGATGGTCATTTCAAACAAAAATCCTATCTTACTGAGCACCTAGAAGCCAAGTACGTGCCAAATTTCAAGTTGGTAGGCTTTACGATTCTGGAAATTTTGTGATGACGCCATGAGTAGTCTTTTGCAATTTATGTGTGGATATGTGCATAGTTTTGTATTTTGTCATGTTTATGTAGTGTATATTGGAGGTGGAGACCCTTTGAGAGCTGCATGCAGCGAAATTTCATTGTAACGTATGCCAATGAGTGTACATTCAAAGTGACAATAATGGCATTCTAAATCTTCAGTTGATGGGATGATTTTTGTGGAGGGTTTTTTCCACTCTGGTGTGAGCACCTTCTGCAAAACGAACTGGATGGAAATGTACTAAAGGATCAGAAATATGAAGAAGTCCTTGACTTAGCAACTGTTCATTTAGCGACGGAAGATAGAACAACACTGGAAAAAAATTACAACCGGTCCTTGCAGCCTTCCCATGGTCCGCATTTGGACAGTTGATAACATGCATGTCTGATTGCAGTGTCCCAAAATCACATGATCAATTTCCCAGCCATCTTCAGATAAGCAAAGTGTGGGGGGGGGACTATTTGCTTAAGGACTGCATGATTCACTTAATAACTGCAGTGATTCACTTAAGCCTGGCCTAAAGGTTGCAAATTCAGGCACAACTCACTTGCATATTGTGGGGCCATCCCTATTTAAAGATAAGTGTGTGTGGGGGGGGAACACCTGCAAGACTCTGTTAATAACAAGAGTTGGAAGGGACCTTGGAGGTCTTCTAGTCCAGCCCTGTACCATTTCAGGCAAATGGTATTGATCCTCGCTGTCAGAAAAATTCTTAGTTCTAGGTTCTTCTCTCCTTGATTAGTTTCGATCCTGGCTTCTTGTCCTGCTTTCTGGTGCTTTGGAGAAATCGTGGGTGCTCCATCACTGGGTGTTTTTAAGTAGAGTCTAGTCACTTATCTCAATTGGTGTAGGTTCTCCTGCTTGGGGGGGGGGGGGGGGAAACTGGACTAGAAGACCTCCAAGATCTCTTTCAGCTTATTCTATTCTAGTATTGCACAATTTCTCTCTCACATGCATGAAACTGTTTATAGCTTAAGAGGGAAAAATAACTAAGCCCATCGCTTAGGGGTACCTGACAGTTACTGAAAAAGTTTCTGTCAGACACGTCTGAATCAAATTGAGAGGGGAAGTTTATGACACATAGGCCAATGTAGGTAGTGTTTGCACTTGTGGTTTGGGTTTCTTGCCTGGACTACCTCGCAGGGTTGTGTCAGTACATTTGCTTTCATCCATACCTTATGCTCTTCTTCCTTTTACTTATTATTATTCCATGCTCAAAAGTCGATTGTAAGATACAAGGACAAAAGGGGGGGGAAAATAGAAGAAAAGGGCATTGACTTCTGACTCTTCTTAGCTCTTCTGTTTTTTGTTTTTGTCTTCTTTTCCCCTTGTATCTCACACCTAGAAGTGGGCTGCTCGGGGTATGCACGGGTTCTGGCGGTTGGTTGGGCCCGCCCACCGGCCTTTGCATCAGTCTGTCCTTTATTTCTGCAGTTTTGAAGCTCAGCTGAGGCGCTGCACAGCAGATTATTTGCTTATTTATTTGTCAATTGCGTACAAGATAATAGGTCAGTGGTGGCTAACCTTCTTGGGCTCCTGCGCCAAAAATTGTGTGCGTGCTAGCGCTCGCGTGCCAGCACCCAGAAGGCAGTGAGCACCCCCTCCCACAGCCCCTGCGCATGTGTGTGCAATCCCACCCCCCACTGCCTCCCCTCTTACCTGCACTGCGCTTCACAGGTGATTTTTGGCTGGTTTGAGGCCTTTTTCGGCCTCCCAGAGGCTTGAAAAAAGCCTCTGCAGGCCAAATAGACTCATTTTCGTCACTTCTGGTACTATAGGAAGTGATGAAACGGGCCTATTCGGCCTGCAGAGGCTTTTTTCAAGCCTCTGGGAGGCCGAAAAAGGCCTCAAACCAGCCAAAAATCACCTGTGAGGCACGCACATGAGGTAAGTTTGCCTGTAGCTCGCGTGCCGGCACAAATGGCTTGCGTGTCACTTGTGGTATGTGTGCCATAGGTTCGCCATCACTCAATTTCCTATTTTATTTTCCTTTGTATTTTATATACTAAAACACAAAATCCAATATTGATAACACGTCGATTGTAAAGTTCACATAGGGCGTGTATCTTGATCCATTGATGGCTTTATAAAACGCACGTACATCACTCAGGTTAAATAAGCAACGACGTGCCCAGCCTCCTTCCTCATGAGATGATTCATAATCAGTTATGTTTAGACTAAAGCAAAGAAAAGGTGATAGGGAAGCCTTTATGTCTTGAGCATTGGCGTCGCCTGCTTCCCAACTGCGTAAGCCTGAAATTAGAAAAAACAAAATCTTGTCCGAATAATAGACTTTTGGCAACTATTCCTCCCACCAAGTTAAACTGTTGTCGGGAACTCGGTTTGTGCTTCGTGCTGTGCACTGACTTTTTGCCAAAGCAGCCGGATAAATGATTGGCCGTTTCTGAGATTAACAAACCACCAGCTGTAGAGGGTTATTTTTCCCCTTGCATAAA